TCTACATAATGAGTTCCAGGACAGCTGGGGCTACAGGGAGACCCTGTCTAAAAAAAAAAAAAAAAAAAAAAAAAGAATTTGGGATAGAAGCCAGTGTCTCAGAATACTGCTCAGCAGCCTCAGCTGGTGATGTTCCCTGATTGGCAATAACGCACTCCGTGAAGAGTGCACCACTACCCCAGGGTGTCCTGCCCACATTTGCTGGCCACAGAGCAAAGTGCTCATTTCGAGTAACCTTGGTCGCCATTCACATTTATAAGAATGTGAACTTTGACCTGGTGTGTGGGGACCTAAAGGCCCCACCTTGCATAGGTCCTAGAGGAAATTACTGGTGGCACAGCCTGGCTTGCTTTGAAAGTCTGAAGAATACTTCCCCACTGCTCAGGAGTGCATGATCAGCGGGTGACCATCCTTAAGATACACCCTCAGGGGGAAGGGGGAATTTCCAGGTGCCTTTATAAGCTTTGTAACATCTGCAACAAATGAGTCCCTGCTTGACTTGAGTCTGAGTGTCCCTGGGTATTGGGGGCGGCGTGCTTACTCATCCCCAATCATCACCTCCCTGGGGTCGCTGGTTTGAACCCCCGGCACTGGTGGATGCGATCAGCTGTTTTTCCTTTGTGTGGAACTGAGAAAGATCAATGAAGTGATTGACTTCTGCTCTAGCCTTCACCCAAAAGTTGAGGTCGTTATCTGGGCTCAGGGCAGGACAGGACACCTCAAATTTATCAGGATTCTGCAGGCCTGGAAGAGACGGTGTAAGCTGAGAACGAGCCCCAAAGTCACACGTGCCACATCACTGCTTTAGTCCAGGTTCTCTAGAGGAACAGAGCCTGCAGGGGGTTTAGATCGACTTACTGTCTATGGCCTGGGTAGTCCAACAATGGCTGTCTTCATGCTGAAGAGGCTGAGAACCCCCTCCGTCTGTGAAGCCAAAGCCTCAGCACTTCTGGCACTGAAGGCCTAGAGGATTCCTGGAGAGTCGCTGGTCTTCAGTCCATGGTCTGAAGTGGATTTCAGTGGACGTCCAGAGAAGCTGGGTTCTGATGTCAGGGAAGAATTGCAGCAGCTGATACAACAGGGAGACACACGCGACAGCAGGATGCAGACAGGGAGATGCACTCAAAACCAAGACGCAGACGGGGAGATGCACTCGACAGGAAGATTAACCATCACAAACAACCATCACTGAGCTTCAAGTCTTTGGATGTTCATATGATGGTTTATGAATGACGTTACTCTTATTTATTATTTTTGTCTTTTTGAGACAGGGTCTCCCTGTAGCTGCAACTGGCCTGGAACTTGCTACATAGACCAGGCTGGCCTTGAACTCATGGAGATCCACCTGCCTCTGCCTCCTGAGTGCTGGATATAACTTTTATGCAAGTGGAAATTCCCTCGCCTCTCAGCAACAGCCATCTTAAAGCCATGAGATAGAGGCCGTATACCATACTCCATACTACGATGAGGATTCAGAGGGTACAGCCTGTTTTCTTAAGTGGTCAGAATCCTGACCAATTTCTTCATACACTCATACAGTCTTACAGTCATCTGCAGGCAACAAGCCAAGTTACAATATGCATCAGGAAAACCAGGCGTTGTTTCAGACCAATTCTGGGATGTTCCCCAAATTGTTGTGAAGGGAGGCCAGATTGCTGCATGCACCTGCAAACGCAGGGTCTCATCGGCCCATGTGCACCCCTCAAGGCTCCCTGAACATCCTGCACCTCCTTTAGAGTATTTCCCACTGTACAGCAAGCCATCAGCTTCTGTCCGTGTCTGGGCCTCCCACAGGGCCCATGCTGTTGCAGTACACTTGCTAAATTCTAACGTGAAGTATTGTGTGACAGACCTTTCCTGAGGAGATGCAACACACGCATGTCTACTCACCCCAGGAAGGGAACCCACATCTTTAATCTCAGCATTTGGGAGGCAGAGGTAGGTGGATCTCTGTGAGTTCCAGGCCAGCCAGGGCTACATGGTGAGACCTTGTTTTGAGGTGTTTCACCAGAGAAGACCACTCAGACAAAGCTTTGCCAAGTGAGTCTTTTATTAGCTTTCCAGCGACTATACAAGGGTGTTGGAAGACAAGTGTAGTCCCCTGTCAGTGTTACAGTAGGCTTTGATACAGAAACTACACCCGGAGTTAAAAGTTTAAGTTTCCAAGGGTTTCCATAGCTTAGGGGTGGAGAGCCGCCTAACAATTCCTGTTTTGTAAAAGTAAGCCAAGCATGTAGTACAGAAGCCATAAATCTGAGGTTAGCAAGAACACGCTGACCTGTTCTCACGGCAACCAGTGGCCTGTTGATGTGCTTGCTGCTGAGCCACACCCCTCTGTTCCCAAACCCTGGGCCAACTGCTTTTTAGTTTCAGAGGCTGTTTGTCCTAGACGTCAGTCAATATGGCATAACTATGATCAAGGCCCTCAAGGCTCCCTGAACATCCTGCACCTCCTTTAGAGTATTTCCCACTGTACAGCAAGCCATCAGCTTCTGTCCGTGTCTGGGCCTCCCACAGAGCCCATGCTGTTGCAGTACACTTGCTAAATTCTAACGTGAAGTATTGTGCGACAGACCTTTCCTGAGGAGATGCAACACACGCATGTCTACTCACCCCAGGAAGGGAACCCACATCTTTAATCTCAGCATCTGGGAGGCAGAGGTAGGTGGATCTCTGTGAGTTCCAGGCCAGCCAGGTCTACATGGTGAGACCTTGTCCAGCCTGGTCTACACAGTGAGTTCCAGGCCAGCCTGGTCTACATGTGAGTTGTGTGAGCCAGGGCTACATGGTGAGACCTTGTTTTGAGGTGTTTCACCGGAGAAGACCACTCAGACAAAGCTTTGCCAAGTGAGTCTTTTATTAGCTTTCCAGCGACTATACAAGGGTGTTGGAAGACAAGTGTAGTCCCCTGTCAGTGTTACGGTAGGCTTTGATACAGAAACTACACCCGGAGTTAAAAGTTTAAGTTTCCAAGGGTTTCCATAGCTTAGGGGTGGAGAGCCGCCTAACAATTCCTGTTTTGTAAAAGTAAGCCAAGCATGTAGTACAGAAGCCATAAATCTGAGGTTAGCAAGAACACGCTGACCTGTTCTCACGGCAACCAGTGGCCTGTTGATGTGCTTGCTGCTGAGCCACACCCCTCTGTTCCCATACCCTGGGCCAACTGCCTTTTAGTTTCAGAGGCTGTTTGTCCTAGACATCAGTCAATATGGCATAACTATGGTCAAGAAGGTGCCTTATCACACTGTATAGGAAAAAAATATGGTGAATGCAGTTGCCATTCTATAGCTAGCCTGGTTCCTAGGTCTTGCACACAGTACACATAAGTCAGGTTGCCGGGCACCATGGCAGGATTAGCACTCAAATTTAGGGCATGAAAATGAGCTGTCATAGCTCTGTCAAAATGTATGCTTTTAGCCAAGATGGTGGCCACACGCCTTTAATCCCAGCACTTGGGAGGCAGAGGCACACGGATCTTTGTGAGTTCAAGGCCAGCCCGGTCTCCATAGCAAGTTCCAGGACAGCTACAGGGAAAAACAAACAGGCAAAAACAAAAAAGAAAATACAGCTGAGATTGTGCCAAGCCATTGTACAGTTTGGTTGAATCTGATTTGCTTTCAAAAAACATGGTTTGGTTTCTTCCAAGTGAGCTGGGGCTTTGTTTTGTTTTGTCTTTTTGAGACAGGGTCTCCCTGTAGCCCCAGCTGTCCTAGAACTCACTATGTAGACCA